CTCAGCAGTCTATGTATCTTACCAAATTGAAAGTAGAATGCTTGAACACAATATCAAATGCAGTTATGAGATACCAATAGTATTGTTCTGCTAAAAGTATAAGATCCTTTTAGTTTGCTACCTCAAAACAAGCATGCTTGATTTTGTTTTCCCTGAATAAAACCACATTAACATATCTGACTAACACCCAGTGAACTGCTTATTAAACAGCAATAACTCCCATCGTGTCACTCCAGGAGCTGAAGGAAAACTGATCCGTGGTCAGTGTGTGTGTCTTGCAGAGACGCTGGCTGTTACATGGCCTGACTAATGGCTATGACTATGTTCCTTGTTCTCAAGAGATTTACAACTCCTGACCATAAAGGCTGGCCTGAGTGTATCCCTTCTGATCACAGCTATGCAATATTGAAAAATGAATGGCAAGTGAAGCTTTACTGTTCAAAAGTTGTGTCATGGTATATATATATATATATATATATATATATGCTTGTTGTTTTTGACGTGTTTTTTCTTTATAAAAAATATATAGCATGCAGATATGTATAAAACATCTGCACCACACAACGGATGTCATTTTGGCAATGCGACAAAAAATAATAAATTGATTAACTTTAATTTCTCATTGTTAGCTCTTTTTTTTGGTAGAATACCAGGGACATAGACGTTTCATATCTTCAAGTTCTTTGTTGGTAATTCATTTTTTCTGCCTTTAAACTACTCTTTAATCTACTTATCCCTGCAGTAAAGCGACAGGAAACTGTTGCCTCTCACACAATCAGGAGTGCAGTTTGTGTATGTTACCCTCGCAAATAGCAGTTCAGAGAGATTGTCTCTTATGTGGATGCTACGTGACTTTTGATCTATGTTTTTATGTGACTTTAATTATAAAAAAAAAAGTGATTATTGAACACACATTTTGAAGTAAAATATAGCTCATGTATAAAATAACTGAACTGAAAATGTGTTTTGGAGATAGCAATTCATGTAAATGATCCAACATTTCAATGGAAATTGAAGACAGACTGTTTTGATATTGAACTCTAGTCTTGTGTATGCCTTTATTTTTACACATCATTAATGAGGATCAAAACAAGTGGAAGAACAACCAGCCAATATCTCTAATATGTAATGAAACTAGAGTTCACTCTTATTAGTGTAGTTCATTTGAATAAATGTAGCGTGACTAATACCAAATGTGTATAATAAAAACAAACAGTATAGTGAATAAAATGAACAGCTGAAGTTGGCGCCTTACAGGAGACTGGTTTCACTTGATTCCAGGACCTTAGGGAGCGGCACCTGCAGGCAGTGACAAAGGTAAGAGTGCAGTGATCACGTTGAGTGACAGTATATGTAGAAACCATAAAATGTTTTTTTTTTAAAGTGGATGTAGCCACATGGTGTCAAGGCAACTTCAAAGGAAAGAAGTCCATGAAACCAGCTTGTGTGAAACCATCTGAGAAAATGTATATATGTAATTTGACTTATCACCCCACTAAAGATTTTGGTTATGAATTTTATGGGTTTTTTTGTGGAGGGGGTAATTTTGCACAATAAAGAACTTTATTTGTCCCCGGGAGGCAATTCAGATGCACACAGAGCAGTAAATTAACACTTAACAGGTAGATGAAACCTCTACATAAATATCTGTGATTGACAAGTCACAACAAGGGCGACCTGTCAACCAGGATAAAGATAAAGCAATATATATCCCGGTGTCCAAATGTGGTCATTTCTGGGTCCAAATCACAAAGCTGATGATAACCAAAATGCTGAACCAGAAGTGTTAAAACTGGATTCTAAAAACAATTTGGTGACTTGTGACTGTGTTAACTTAAATAAATAGATTCACATAAGAAATAAGAACTTTTAACTGTCATCAGCAACCCTTTTTTATAAAGAACAAAATCCTTCTCATCGCACTATTAAAATTTGATTCAATTCCCAGTACAAACCCTTTGATACTCACAGATTTCAGATAGGCCACACTGCTCTTCTTGATCTCTGTTAGGAGCTGATCACGAGGTGTGAGGTCGACTTTCGGTGGCAATCGTCTGCGTGGGACAGGCTTCAAAGTCTTAATGACGTCCGACAGGTTTGCTCTTTCATCCGTGACCCCTTCGCTGCCAGTATCTTTCACTTTGGGAGTTTTCCTCAATTGGAAACTTGCCCTCTCTGGTCTCGAGTTATCCCTCGGGTCCAGGTCCAGAAAAGGGTCCCGTTTCTTAGGAGTCCTCTTCAGCTGGACGTCTCTTAACGAGTTTGATGGTTCGACCCTTTGTGGTTCAGGCGTGCTTTTGTGCTTGGGCTCCTTCTGAGACTCTGGCTGATGGGTCTGGTTCTGTGTTTGAGGTACAGCGCTCAGATCTGATGAGGGTGGAATGAACCCATTCTGCTGAAGGAGCTCCAGGGATGGTATGTACCCAAGCATCTCAAGCAAACCAGGCGGCAGGTTTAGACTGTTCTCATACATTTGCATCATCTCCCTCTGCTCCTTCACCTGCTGCTGCCTCTGCTCCTCCTTCCTCCCCTGCCTCTGACGGTCAAGGTTCCTGGTCAAAATGTTGGTCACCACCATCCTGGGCCCTGGCAGCTCAAAGTGGTAGCCCATCTTCAGGAGTGTGTTGTTGGCTTTGAGCAGACGAGAGATCTCCATCTCTGAGTGGTGGCCCAGCATGTGCCTCTGGTTGTGGAATCGCAGCTCCGTCAGAGTCTCGTTGAATTGGAGGCAACGGATGATTGCGACTATTCCCTTTCCAGTGATGAAGTTGGACTCTATATTCAAAGTGGTAATGCTGCGGTTCTCTCGCAACATGTTGGCCAGGTTGAAAGCAATGTTTTCATCAACACCCGTGTTGGCGATACTGAAAGTTTTTACATGCTTGTTCTTCTTCAAGCCATTGACATAGTCCAAGAGCATTTCTTTGGGAATGTTCTCAATGTTGTTGAGGTTTACCTCGGTGACAGAGGGGTTGTTTTTGCGGATTTTGTCAAGTGTAGAGTCCAGGTTTGTCTCATTTCCTGATGGTCTTGAAGTCATTTTTATGTTGTTAAAGGCCAACTTTGGGATGTTTAATTTGTTAATTTTCCTCTCTTCCTTCTGCGGGAGCTTATCAATAGTTTCTTTTATCTCTGGCGGATCTTCAGCCTCATTGGGAGGTAAAGAGACCGGAGTTTTACTTTTCCCTACCTCTTCAACCTGTGGTGTGCTAAGTTCTGGAACCAAGCTCTCAGTCTTCTCCTTTGAGTCCGAGCAAGACTGATAGTCATCTGTTTTGTTTTCTTGTACTTTTTCTGTGTTGCTGACTGGAGGATCGACTTGTTTGTCTGTATTTTCATGTTCATCAGAAGATTTTTCGTCTTTCTCATCTCGCCTTTCCTCCCGTTCATCACTCTCTTCAGCCTCCTCAACCTCTTCAACAATTTCCTCAATGATCTCTTCTATGATCTCCTCTCCATCTGCACCATCTGTGGCTTCTTCCTCAATAACTTCTTCTATCACTTCATATTCCCCATCTTCTGTATTTTGTTCTTTTTCTTTGTTTTCAGCTTCCTCCCTCAAAGTTTTCTGATAAAACAACAAAACATACCACAGTTAGTGTACTAGTCCAGACACAATGTGTTTCATCCTGTCCATACCACTTCACAACTATTTGATTTATAGTTTTGAATGAAATACTTCCTTCCTAAATGGTTTGTTATGATCTTTTGAGAATTCAACTTCTTACCTCACTTGGTAGCAAAGTAGCAGGGACTCTTTCCTCTTCATGCATTCGTTTGGATTCTTTCTCCCAGTAGAGGTAATCAACCAGGGATCTATGGTCAAACGTCCCTGTTGGAGGCTTCTCTGTCTGGTCCTTCTGTCTTTGTCCAACTGGTACTCTCTCATCTGGGGCAATCATAATATCCATCTCACTCTGGAGCTCCTGAAGCTCCTCGGGTGAAAGCATTGCAAGGATTTCATCCTCATCAATTTCCTCCTCATTGAGATCCTCAATGTCTCCATTGTCTGACATGTTTGCGCTGTGCTATTTTGTGTCTTTCTTCTTCAAAATATTGTTAGGAAGGATAACTTGTGTCCGGTCTGTGACTCAGGACAGAGCAAAGTAGAGAGCCTCTGACTTTGAGCCACAGCTACAAACCTCCTGCCTCATGTGGAGTCTAAAATTAAACCTTGTGAACTGTATGGAAGATATTTTAGGGGCTAGCAGGGGGGAAAGACATGCTAGCATTCTTCTCTCAGCCCCTGCTCCCAGCTGGCCCTGCCATCAGGGATCCTTTGGGATGACAGTTGCTTCAGGCAAAGGAACATGTAGGACTGACAGCAGCAGGTGAAACATTTTCACTGTGGGGGGGGGGGGGGGGCTAAAAGCTGTACTGCACACTGAGCTCCTCCCAGTCTACCAGAGCTCTTTGGAAGACACAACTCCTTGTGCTACAATAAACAATAAACATGGGATGGAGCCAGAAGAGGTGATATGTCCTTAAGGGAAGGGGTGCCAATGCTCCCTTTTTTCATGGTTTTAATGCTGAGCTAAGCTGACTGGCTGCCAGAGGTTGGAAATATTGAAGTACATTTGCTTCGTTTCTGTCTTTACTAGAGTTCTGGGTATCTGTCCTCAGGTTGAGGATTTACTTTCGACACAAATCTTTACTTTCTGTGTTACTGTACCAATATTGAGGTCCAATTAGCTTTTCATAAAGACAGACATTTCTTTAAAAGGCCAACTTGAGTCTTTTTTTGAATAAAAGAAAGCGTCAATCTTTTTTTACACGAACAGCTGCTCTCCCATTTGAGTAATGTGTGTACTTCTCCCACATTTGCTAGCTGAGGCATTGTAATATATGGCTGGTTATAGGAGTGATTTATAACTCACCTACCTGTTACCATGTTTTCAAAAATGGCGAACTACTCCTTTAAGATTTCCTCTCTTACTCAATAACACAACCTGAACCAGTTGTTTACCAAGCCTCTCAAAGACATTGACAACAGATTTCTATGCTTCACACATGTATTTATTCACATCCTTGTTCCCAGTGGAAAATATTTAATGACAACATCTAACATAGAACTACACACTGACTGTACAAATGTGTGAGAAAACAAACAGCAAGATATGAATATGCGTCTTACGGCAGTGGTCCTTTGTTGATATAAAAAAGAAGTTCTTATCAAAAAATTAAAATCATTACCATGCATTTTAAAAACACATTACGGCACCAACAAAGAAAAATGGTTCAATAAACAATATTGACAAAGTACATTCTGATTCAAAGTTTAAAGAAAGGAAGAAATGGAAATTCATCATACACACAGTCTGCTCTAATGAATGTTCTTTGTATGCCACATTTTGGACATGTTCAAACGCTGTTTTCATCAAGACTTTATATTGTATCATACTTAACTGAGATGAAAGTGGTGACAATGACTTTTATTCAATAACCTACTGTTTTATATAAGGCAGTAGCTAGTTCCAGTTCAAATACATGGAGTTGGATTTTGTTCAAAAACAAATGTTGCCTCTTTTTCCATCTTTAAAACACAAGAGCGGTTTGATTCCAGTGTGGTTGTGCAACACCTTCAAGTTTCTTGACAACATTCTCATCTGCCCTGTACAATTAATCCAATCCAAGGCACATGGAAAAAGTCATTCATGAGTGTCATCACTGTTTTCGGAGGTTACTTCAACATGAGGACAGTGTACACACAGACTGCCAAAACCCAAACAGAATAAAAGTTTGTGTACTGCCCATGTATCAACTCCATCCCCTTCATGTGCTGCTGGCCATGGCTTTAGTTCTGCCAGAGTTTGGTTTGGTCCTCAGCGAATGCTCATGTAGCTTCCATCCAGGTGAAATCTGCAAAGGAAGCGACCCAAGAAAATATCAAATCAACTGTAGTTTAACAGTTTCAGAACAAGGAACACACTACACAAACATGCAGGAACAATGAGTGGGAATGGAAGTGTAATAAACCAAAAAGTCCACATCATTTTGTGAAAGTATATAAAGATATTTCTGCTTCATGGAGTAAATGGAAACGTCTTAGGTTGGCAATGTCATTGAGCCAGTCCACCACTTAAGTCCAAACTAAAATAACTCTATTTACACATAGATTCCCATATTTGTCATTTTTCACATCCACCTGATTCATTGTACCTGGAAGATTAACATCTGGCTGATGCCCTGACTTTTCCTGATATGCCATTGTTTGGGAGCACTGACAAAACTGAAATAGTCAGTTTTTAGTCAAATGTCAAATGTCATGACAGCTAAAAGATGGATAAGCATACATTTTGAGTATTCACTCTCCCCTCAGGTTATTTATTTTTCAAACTATGGTGATTCCTTGAGTTTTTACCAGGTTACAACTTGGGGTAAAACACAAGTTGATTCCTCCGGTAGTTCGGTTTATTGCCCAATTCCTACAAAATGAACTAAATTCCTGTCAGCCTCAAATGTACTTAATGTTTAGTTAGTGTTAATCAGCCATTTTTAGCGTAATAACAAGCAAAACCATGATGGTGAAAAACGGTAAACTGTATAACTAAACTTCTGTCAGCGTGTTAACATTGTTACTGTGAGCATCTTAGCATTTTGACACCAGCATTTAGCTCAAAGCTCTGCCTTATGGAATTTCACATCCATTGGCTGATTGTGCTGTCAAAGTGTTTACACTCTTTAAACATGTTTATAACAGTCTTTATAATCATGATAAACATCTCGCAGACATGCCCCTGCCTTGTCAGGTGTCAGGTAAACAAGGTAATGAGTGACATTTTTGTGCCTGAGGGGGAGAAAAAAACGACAAACCACAAATGAAAGTGTTGATGATTTGATTAAATCGGCTACATTGGAGCGACACACGAATGGAAATGTAGAGTCAAAATGGAGATGACTTGCAACACGACACAAAGATGTCTACTGTGGTCTCACCCTTAAGTGCTAGAATGGTTGTCTGATGGTTCATCTGTACTAGTGGCTTCTGAGCCAACCACCTCAACTGACTCAGATTTTTTAGGCAATTTGTCAGACACTTTGTTGTCTGGAGAACATCTGCACACATAAGCATTACAAAAGTCAAGGCAGGAAGAAGGAAAGGCAGGAAGAAAAAGAGATAAAGATTTCAAGATATCAACCACCATTTTTTAAAAACAACTCTCACATTTAAAACTAAAGAACAACCACCATTGGTCTTTGATCTACTCCAGTCCTGGTGCATCCATAGCTCAGTATGGAGAGTCATTGAAATGAAGACCTCACCTGTGTGTAGGACTGCGGTTGTACGGAGCTCCAGGGTGTGGGTAATGAGGTGTGTCGGGTGAATCGTATTCTGTCAGACCAACTGCCAACTGGTTGCGCCAGTTACCTGAGCTTTCCACTGAAGACACTGCAGCAGACAAAAGAAATCGAGTCAGATTGGAGCGGTACTCAGAAATAATAGTTTTGTTAAAACACTCATAAATCCAGCTTTATGGCAACATGTCAAAACATACGACTATACCCTTTGGATTGTATGGCTACGTACTGTTAGTGCCACTTTACAATGAATCTTCACACCTCTGATACAAAAATACAGACTGTTTAATTTCTCTAGACATATTTCTTAAAATGAAACTATACCCTTTAATACATTCCCAATGCAATACAAGAACCAGTTTGTGACTCCTGTTTATCACCATCAGATTAAACTAAAAGGACTTCTGATCCCTTTCCTTAAATTGTCTTCTCAGTCCCTTATACAATCACTAATGATCGGCATAAATGACTTCAGTCACTGCTGAATTTAAGAAACATGAACCACAATTTTGAACCGTTCGTATCACTTTCAATTCAACCATTAAACTCATGCATCTCCGTTTGAAGTCGACACTTTGAGAAGGGAAAATGCAACTTCTCACAGACTTGGAAAATTGGTTCAGGATCATTTTAAATGAACAGCAAACATCATTTTCAGAACCAGATGTTTTCGCAAGTCTTTGCAGATGTTGAAACTACTTTTAGAAGCAGTGATAACAGCTGTTAGAGGCCTTTCTTTCTTTTTTTTCATAGGACAAGAATGCTTTACTTTCTGACGGTTTGATTGTTATATTAATACATTAAAGGCAAAGACTGGAGCAATTTTCTCACAGAATAATTTTCTTGGCAGTCTGCAAAAGTTTTGACACAGCATGTGAAGCTCTCCACTGACACCCGCATCAATCAAATTGTGTTGAGGGGATAAGCAGCCCTTTATTGATTTTCTAATTTAATATTAATGTATATACTTGATTACTCCCTGAGGGGACATTCTGGTTTACACTTTGTTATTGAGAGACACAATACTCACACACATAGGCCTGAAATACACACATGCACAAACAGGACTTGTGGACATGTATTAATGGAGGGAGAGTCAGAGCGGGGCTGCTATAAAGGGAGCGCAACAGAGCTTTTGGGGATTGTTTTTTGGCCCTGCTCATGGGCACCTCGGCAGTGCTGGAGAAGTGACCTGGCACCTCTACAGCAACCAGACCAACTTCCATACTCTTCATTTTGAATTGATTTGAACCGGTTACCCTTAGGTTTCCAACCAAAGTCCCTTCAGTCTGAGCTACTGCCGCCCAAAGGAGGAATTCCAGTTTGATATATTTTATGTGTTAAACAACTTACAGTATAAATATATGTAAATATACCCATCTACCGCAATTGATTATAAGATATTATCTTCAGAGATTTTCTCTCCGATGCATACATGTTTAATTTCACTGTGGACGTTGTCTTCTTACCTGAAGAAAAGGAGGTCGTCCTGCTGGAGTGGCTGAAAGCAGCCGGCATGGTCTGATAGCCCAGGCTGAGTTGAGAGCCGTTATCAAAGTCATATCCAGCCAGCATCCCCCTCCCTCCCTCCCTGGGGCTCTTATTTCTGTGATACCAGCCCTTCAAGTGCTCTGCCACCAGGGCCTTCTGCATGTTTTTGGCCAGCAGCTCATTCCTGGGCCCCTCTCTGTTTCGCGGCGGCCTCACTGTTGCGTAGGGATTCTGGGAAAGACCATCTGCCCGGTCACTGCTGTAATGCCTGAATCTGTCATGTCCGTGGTACCCGTTAACCTGGTAGGAAGGGTTGACGTTGTAGTGGCCTTCTACATCACTCTCATACACGTAGGCACCGTTAGCGTAAGGCTCCATGTCCGGGCAGGGGTATCCGGAGACGTAGTAGGCACTGGGTGTATAGTGTGCTGGGGTCTCACATGAGAAATTACAACCAGAATGGTGTTGGACCAAGTTGGGCATACTCCCAGTATTTCCATAGACCTCCACCTTCCTGTGTAGACGATGCATGGTGGAGTTCCGGGAGTCCAGAGTACTGTAGTGGGAGTTGGCCGCCCCGCAGTAGTCCAGACTGGACTGGCTGGTGTAGGAGGAGCAGTCCTCTAACACCTCTGTGCTGTTGCTGCGATGGGCTGGAGATAAGATAAAGATGGGCTTCTCTGGGTCTGTGTCTTTTCTAATGTGGGGCTGAGACTCCAGACTTCCACTGCGATGCCTGAAGCAGTGAGGGGAGCCCTCCGACCTGTGAACAACAACAACTTTTATACTATCTCCAAAGAAACAAATGTAGTCCTTCGATTATATTTCTGGATTTATTAGTAGGTTATTTGTATTAGAATCAGTAAAAGGTTAGTGGGTTGGAGAGGAGCAGGGATTTCGCTAAAGAAAAGAAAAGGGTTGACAACACAGGAATCACACCTGAGCTGGCTGCTGCTGTAGGCATTGCGGGTCATAACCGGGGTGGGCGGCATGCTGCGCGGATCTCGAGGAGGTCTGGGGAGTGTTTTATAGGGACTACTGTGGGTGGAGGAAATCTCTCTTGGATTCTGGTAGCAGTGGGAAGTCTCCTGGCTTTCAAAAGCTAGTCTAAAAGGGTGTGGTATTAGGAGAGGATCACAAAAAAAAAGAGAAAAGAAAAGAAAAAAAAAGGTTGGGATGTGAGGAAAGGAATGAGGCTGCAAACATGACACAGCAATTATTATGGCCTCTGCCAAAACATGATATCATTGCTTCATTCCAAGAACAGTTTGGCTTTTTAATGAAATCAAAAGTTGTGAAACGAGTTGCACAACAAGAGACTTTGTGGTTACATTAAGACAGGGGGCGGTAAATCTGCTTTCCAACCTGCTGTGGTTCCTGTTATGGTGATTTTCCCTTGGACATCCCGGCCTCTCCACGTCATATTCTGTCCCCAGCGTCCGCATCGGGCTGAGCTGAGGGGAACCTTGGACCGACCGGGACCGAGGCCTCTGACTCGCAGTGTCTGAGTCATCTGAACACAAAGGTAACAATACTGACACTGGCTCTTTAAAAAAGTCGTTGAAATTGCAGCTCATATGGTTTTAATGCACCAGAATGTGTTTTTTAAGACTCACCATCATCCAGTGGGAGACTAGACAGAGAGCTGCAGTCTGAACGGATGAGCTCATCTAGGTTCAAAGAAAATAAAACCATGTTTTTTCTGAAAGAGAATTTTGTCAAATGATTGTCCAGTAACTCAGATTCACCTTCACCATACCTGCAATAATGACTGACGCCCGCTGAGTTGGCTTTTTGCCCTTCTTGATTCTGTACTGGTTCATCTCATCCTCTATCAGCTGGAGTTTGTGCATGGCATCCAGACAGTTTCTCCTCCTCTTCTTCTTCACCGTTTTGCACAGCTCTGGCTCATTCGCCAGCTTCTTGGCCGCCTCCACAATCTTTTGCTGCAGGGCAAACCTGCTCTCCAGGTTCCTCAGGAAGGGATCCTGCACCAAACACAAGCAGCACATCGACAGAGGAAACAATAAGTGACAAGACTTCTGCTGCAAGGAGCTCCATCAAATCAAAACTAGCATTGCCAATTGTTTTCCTCATCCATTCAGAAATGTTGATAAAAATAAGGATTTCAAGTTGAGTTAAAATCATGAAGAATAATACTTTTGAATAACCTGCAAACGTATTCATTTCATGTCCTGTGTTTTAGCAGAGATAGCTGCCAGTTCTCTATCGTTTTATTGTCAACAACCTTGAAAAAGCCAAACCAATACTTTTAGACTTCCCTGCAGTGTGAAACTCAGCCTCAAAACCAGTTGGTTTTCCTCCGAGGTTGTAAATCTTTGTGTCATAAATATAATGTTTCCCAGGTGGGAGAAGGCTAGTGACAATTTCCAGCTGTGGCGATGGTGCGCCAGCAAAGAATTTTGGCAGCAGCAAAGCATGACATGTGGGGTGGTTTCGAAATGAACTACAATGCAACTGCTAATTGTAGTGAATGAACATCACTGAGTGCAATGGTGTGGCTCATTTTTGCAGCTGTAAAAGCTTTTAGAAAACATCAGAGCACCGTTGCAAGGAAATCAGATGCATGTTGCAAACAAGAAGGCCTGTTAATAGGACCAGTTCATTGTTGGCGAGATTAAAATACTCTATCAACTAATCTATTCTTAAACTTCAAAAAATGTGGCTTTTAACTGTCCAAACACAAGACACTTCTCCGTGTTGAATACAAACCTCGTTGTAGGGGAAAAGTTCGTCCAGCTTGAAAGCGGTGCCAACTCGTCGCCTGACCTGTGGCGGTCTCTCACCTGATGAGAGGGGATACTCTTTTGGCAGCTTGCCAATAAGCTCCTGAGAAACACAAAACAACAGGGCCCCCTAAATACATCGTTGAACTGCACAGAAGAAAAACAATAATCTACCTGCTGCCCGGCAACACGGTGAAATAATGGGAGTTTAGCACGCTGCATATGGCCGTTTTCTAAGAAAAGGCATGCAACATAGAGTTCTAGTGCAAGAAGAAGTAGAACATAATGGATTTCTTACCGCCTCTCTCAGGCAAATTTTCTTCAGCTCTTTTGTTTTCTTTGCCAAGATATCTTGGATCTCTTGCTCTTTTTTCCTCAGCTCGAAAAGTTTCTCTTTCTTCTGCTCCTCACTCATTTCAGATTCTGCAGAGCCTGCACAAACAAAATCCAGACTATTGTTTCCAAAAGAGCACAGAATACTCACATCTCTAAAAGTTACATCTTTGTCATGATGTGATATTGTCGTGAGACAAAAGTTCAACATGTCACCTTGACTTTTTAATCACAAACAGCTCATTGTGTATCCCACATAGCGTAGTAAGTGGAACCAAGAAACATGTACGGAATAGTTAGCTTCTTAAAGTGAATATTTATAACTAACCTGTAGACACCAGGCTCCCATTGCTGGCTGTTATTAAGTTATTCTTCAGCCCTGCATCTCCCAGTCGGTTTAGTTTTGCTCCTCCATGCTCTGTGAGATCCATGGCTATTTCCTCCAAACTTCTCGATGTTCCTATCTTAACCTAAGAGGGAAAACGTACAAAAGTATAAGATACTAAACGGAGAACTCTGGGTTAAAAATATCGCAGGCGAGTCGGATAGTGGACTTACTTTGCTTTGCTTTCTGTCCAAGTAGAACTGGTGCTGGCTGATCGCCATGACCCAAATGGTTTTGATCAGAGAATGGCTGGCATACCACGTGTGTATGAGTAGGCCCGTCTGTCCGAATGTGCGCTTGGTTACTGCTCGCCTGTTGCAGGAAACGCAGCAGAAAACAAAGCAGAAGTTGAGATAGAGATAACCTTCACAGTAAACGGCAGTTTTCTGAACGCTTTCTTGAGATGAAAGCGTAGGAGAGAAACATACCAGAGACTTAAAAGGCTTAGCGAGAGTTAGCGCAATGAGGTAAAAACAGTGCGCTTTTACCATTTTACAAAGATGAAACTCTCCTGCTGCTCACCTGTGTGGATCATTCACTTCTACAGCAAATTTCTTCTCACGGAAGTACAAGTTTTCCAGCTGCTTCCACTGGTAAAGCTGTGGATAAAAACAAGAGATAACAATAGTCATTGGACATTAGACAATTTTCTCTGCAAATGGACAATAAAGTGTTATCTTATCTTATCTTATTAAGTTCTATCACTCATAACGTCATAAAAGCAAAGATGAGTTTAAAATGAGAAAAATTAAAAAAAGAGAAAAATAATGAATTTGTCTGCGTCACCACGGCCATAAACTGTTAAGAACATTTAAACTGCAGGTGTTTTGGCTTGTCTCTTTCAACCACTGTCATTAAAAAAAAAAAGCCAGACTGAAATGTGAACTATCATTACAGTGTAAAGCCCCCAAGCATGCCAAGTCTGCAATAATGCAGGTGTTAAAAAAGAAATGAAGGACCGCCACGAGGGGACATTACACAAAGACTCATCGCTGCCGACAACACTCTCCATGGCTCATCACGTCTCTCCACATATCAGGTCCAGGTGCTCGCTGACAGCAGCAATATATGAACAATCTATTTGGGTCAGTGACTCACTGTGTGTCTGGGACACGATCGGGATGAGACATGGACTCACACAGACACAGAAAACGGCATCGCATGTGGTTCCTCTTGGGAGTATTTTCTATCACAAAGCTGCTACTCGGATAACATTTTGTAACAAAAACCCATCGAGTTGTTCTTTTATTAAAAATCAGATGGTAAAGAATGATTAACAAGTAATCGAGTTAGTTATCATAAGAACCAAAGCTTTGTAAACTTGCAGATTTTCTTACATTTGGCCAGACAAAGACATGTAGCATCCAGTCTTACCAGTATGATGGATCTTCTCGATTCAGGTTTCCTAAGTTTAATCCCTTCCTGGCTCTGCTGTCAACACAAACACGCACTCGGTTCCTTCTCCTGTCAGCTCTTGACTCGTCTCCTCAGGTATTCTCAGAACACGCATGATAACGCCCCAAATCCAGCCCCTCTGCCTTTGACATCAGCAGCTCCCTCCTTCTTCTCCTCTCCTCTCCAAAACACACACAACCAGCTGCTTCTCTTGCACAACTTTGGGAGCGCAGAAGACAAAGATGGATTGCACCATGTCGAGAGATTGCCAGACTTGAACAGGATGACTGTGCCAGTAATTAAATGTGCATTGTTCTGAACTTTCCCTCCTCTTCAGTATCAGCAATGCACTGCAGCATTTGCACCCAACTGCAGAGGCAGACACTGGATGGCATAGCTGGCAGATCACTCATATGGGTGTTTCTCCTATCAACTCACGAGCTAAAACAACAGCAATGGAACAAGAAGAGCAGGTTCAAAGTGTACAGTATGTTTCATTCTCGAGGACACAACTCAATAGTCTCATTAAGAAAAACTCTGAGAGCTTTCTTCTGCTCTGCTGCAGAGCTGATTTCGCTCAAACTCGTCAAGTCTGGCCTCGTCTGCAGCAGCTGAAGCCCGGCCTTTGTTGAGGTGAAATGGATGATGCATGACTACGAGCTGGTGAATCACCGTGCTACGTGTGCAGCAGCAGTAATCCATACCAAGAGCTTGCGCTATAATATCCACAGTCTGATTAGAGAGGCGGTAGGAAGTCTTTACCTTTCTGGGTTTTAATTTGTCCTGCAGGTCATACTGGCCGATGCCCTTATAGCTGAGCCCAAGCCACCACGGGATCCCTTGCTTGTCCTGTGGAGAAAGAAAAATAAAAGTTTGATGGTTGACTCACCTTCATGTGCAACAGCTGTCATTTCCAATAAATCACAGCAGAAGACCCACCTTGACTTCATAATAATGCACGCCATACGTGGGCAATGATTCCACCAACGTCAAATACCTAGAACAAAAACAGTTTTTATTAAAACCACCGGCTGCTACCACAGCTGCATGCGGTTTGGCCTTGGAAACATGAAAAAAGATAGAACTGGGAATTTGATCAGTGTGATTCACTGGAACTGCAACTGAAGACGAGATATTGATTTCTATCAGATGATGAGAAAAGGCGTGCCAGAGAGAGAGAGAAAGAGAGAGAAGGGAGGGCTAATAGAGGTGAGAGGAAGATTAATGGATCTAAAGCTTTATATCATTCATTGGCTGATTACTAATGTTAAAACAATTACAGCAAATAGTCTCCACATTTTTCTTTTCATACTTACTGCACAATGGCCTGTCCTCTGGAGACTCCTTTCAGCTGTTTGTAATATTCAATAACTCGATCCTCACTGCAATGTCACCAACAGAAGAGACTTTTTTTACACTTTAAAAACAATTAGAAAAAACACATTCTGTGTGTGTTGGCGTGTCAGTTTATGTAGTCCTACCAAACAACTAAATGTAGAACAAGCTTATATAAATTATAATCAAATACATCCATAAAAATACTGTTGGATAAAAAGCGAAAACGTAGCTATCGTCCTACTTTTGACATCCAATCAATGTGATACAAAAACCTAAAGCTTTAAAGCCAAACAGTCTGGGATTATAACCAGCTTTATATCAGCTGTGGCTTACACGTTTGAATGATATTTAAATTTAAAAAATCTAATCATACTTTATGTGTTTGAGCAGCTGTCTATGTTTAAAATGTTGTAGCATGTAAAAGAAATAGCTCTGTAATCTTACCAGTAAGCAAGAGACGGGTGCTCCTTTAGTACTTTGGTGGGAAGAGTCGGTAGTTTCTTCAGATCAGCTCGGGTGCTTTCATCACTGGCACAGAGCAGAAAAATCGTTTGAGTTTTAGGTGTGAAGCGGTGACATTTAATTAAACTGTTTATTGCTGAGCTCCTTCTTTGTGTAAACCGTCACTTCTCCCGCAGGCAGGACCAGGTCTGGATTAAAGATGTTCTGACAATATGAATCCAAGTAGTCTCCCTAATTTTCCCACCCAAACCCAAGACTCAACAAAACAAAAATGTATTTCAGTAAATATAAAAACATGTATAGTCAGCTGCACTGTTTTGGGGATTTTTCATAATTTCCGAAGTTCGTACAAATGTTGGACTTTAGCCTTACCTTGTTGTACACTCACTCAAGTAGATAGGCCTACAATTTTGAGGTAGCTCTACTCTCGGCTAGCAAACAAATGTTGTTTTTTAAATTTAGAAATCTTTACATCTGTGCATTTGGATGGAAGAAGATTTTTTTTATTTATGTAAGATTTTAAAATATCAGTTAAAGAAATAGTAATGAACAACTGCCTAACAGTATATTAGTAGAAGTGAGTAGTACAATGAGATGTACCTTCTATAGCTGCAACATTTAACCTTAGTGCTCCTGACACATCTAAACGTCTAACCCAAAGATAGCCAAAAATCTAATTCTAAAAACATCTTACTCCAACATTAGCTCATCCTTAACCATCTTCCTTTAGAAATCCAGATAGAAACCTGCACCAAGACCTGCAGCATTCCCCCTGATCACCATACATATATTATAAAAAGGCCGCTTTGTTCAACACACTTGCTATAACTCTCTGCGATGCATAGATGCCTCCGCTCTGCAACACTCTATCGTCTCTATGAGATTCATTAGCTGCCTGGTGCAAGCTCCTCTGCACTCTGTGGTAAGCCTCACATAACACTGCTATGGATTTTTGTTGTCTGCACTCCGGAGAAACAAGTGACCTATTGAATGTCTTCGCCAAAAGCTCACTATTAACTTGTCCTGCTGCTGTTAAATACTTCTTACCCAGCTGATAATTTGCACTCACCTTGTGTAGTCTCCCTTTGCCTCCTAGAGATTAAGACAAAAAAAATACATCTTATCAGATTACATGCCGTAAATATTTAAAGGGCAGCAATTAATGCATGTAAATGAGACTATTAAAAGCACTAACCTGTAAGGCATTCGCAGCCAATTTGAAGACGTTCTCGCTTTCCACTTCTATAACCTCCTGAGACACACAAGGATGAAAAAGAAATCAAGGATGTAGAAAATGTGTGGAGAAGGCGTTCAGGATCCAAACATAGAATCTCCTCTGTGTTGCCCTTCAATAACCTCTACATATTCTCAAAATGAACCCATGTTTTCCCTACACTCTTCGACTGTCTACTTTGCATTCCAGCCAACAGAGTGACAAACGCGTGCCCTGCAGCCACTGTCTACTGATCGGAGGGTCTCGAGACAGTGAATCATCAGCAAGCTGCTAAGAAGAAAACACAACTACAGCTCGAGAAAATGATATACCGCTTCAAACCTTGGGAATGCAGGAGCAGAACACTTACATTATAGACAGCAGATTTGGCATTTAGGAAGAATAACTCCACCGTTATGATGTCCTTCAGCTGTGTTATGTTTTCTACATAAAACCTGGAGGATGAAAGCAGATGAGACAAAACAATTTACGGGTTAAAGTACTTATTGGGAATCTTCATTTTGCTCTTTTCTCAGGGTTTTAAAAGCAATGTGTGTTTGAGATTGACAAGTTTATAATGTAAAAGCCCGAGAAAAAAAAAACACCTCACAAAGAACTGTCATATGTTGAAAACAAACTAATTGCTACCCTCTGACATTTTTTTTTGACAGCCAGCTGCTTTACTCCATGTCAACAACGTAGCACTCCCTGCTGGACAAGCTTGTGATTTGCATGAGAAGAAATATGAATTATTACCTGACCAGGAAGTTCAGAGCAACGGTCCCGGACTTCTTGGAAAAGTCGTGTTCGAGAACCCTGCGGTCCATCTGCAACCATTTACGCTGACCACTGCGGAGAGCAAGCAGACTGAAGCTTCACAATGCCGTATTTTTTGTTAATTCACACACACACACACAAAGACACACATGTTTAAACATCTGTAAATGTTTAAATCACTCAAAGGTATTAAACTTAACGATTTACATACTTGTCGTCGAAAAATGCGAGACCGAAGAATTCCTTCTCTTTGAGGTTGAAGTGGGAGGAAACCAAGTCAAGGAGTTCATACGACAGCAGCTTGGGCTGTGGAAGACGATTTACATTCAGTTCCATCACTACTTTAATTCAAAACCAAATTGAAACGATTCAAACATTTCACTCGATAAATGTGTAACAAGAACTTTTGGAAGTAACTTTTTTTTTTCTGTTGCCTCTTTCTCTCCAAAGAGAGTAAGACTGACAGGTCAACAAAAAGAGCAGAGAGAAACACTGGAGTGAGGATTTAGTAATGGGCTCCAGGATACAGATACTCAGGAACTAAATCCAGGTCATGTAACCATGGGTCATCTTTCTTCTCAATAAATTATCATTGCCAAGACATACATTCTGTACAGTCCATCCGGCCTCACCAAGAAGAGACGAGCTTTAACCCTAACAGGCTTCTCACCTCTTATCTCATCTCTCCACAGACTCTTTTCTCTTCTTTTACCTCGTGTTCTTTTTCATATGTAACGTTGGAAACAGGAATAGTTCTGCGAGTACCTCATGATGGGCAGTAAAAGGTAGCATAGAGGGGGATGACTCTCGGGGGGCCGGAGCTAAGTCTTGAGCCTTCCTGAGGTGATGTGGGCCTAACTTGACGAAACACCAGGAGAGTAGAGGATGCCGACTTTTATACCCAGTTATGTGTTGGCTCTCGCTGTCCATCACTTTCATGGTAGAGTTGTGGGGTTCATTGATCACCATGTGGTAGGGTAGAGAGTAGCTCGCATGTAAGAAGCCTGGGTCTGTTCAAGATTCATTTACGTGATCTCCCATTCTTTGAAGGCAGGGTAGGTAATCCTGGAAAGCTAGGGAATTTAGAAAGTAACATCTACTAAGCCTAAGGGCTCCATCCAAACCCAGCCCCTCCCTCAGGGCTCCTTCAAAGGCCATGCCCCCCCCCCCCCCAAACACATGCAGGAGCTCCGCTGGATGACCCCTGCCCTCAGTTGTCGCCATCGCCGATAGCTTTATGATTGCTGAGTCTGGTTTGGTCTCTCTCTTCACCTAAACTCTTTTTCATCGCAGCCTTCTCTGCTTCCATCTTTCTTTGTCGTGCCCTGTTTAGCGGGACGAGAGATTACAAGGAACTGTGGCCTAAGTCATTTGAGCTGAGCTTTCTCTGCCATCCTCTGGTAGATCGAAGTAATGTGAATGCTGAACTGTTCTTTACGCGTTACATTAACGCCCACTGGACTTTAAAAATGTATCTTTCATACATGCACTCTGTGAGTAGTTACACACTAAGATTTTTTTCTCATAGTCCACTGCACAGCTCCTACATTGCACCTTTTGTAGATTTTGTTTTTTTTATTTTGTATATTTTACATTTTATATATTGTAATAGCTTCTTATACTGTATTATTTAAGCTAGTTCTGCTTTATTTCCCTGTTAATTGTTTAGCACCAATACACCAAGCCAAATTCCTTGTATGTGTAAATGTACTTGGCAATAAACCCAGATTCTGATTCTGATTCTGATGTGGAATACCTCCAGCGGCAGTGAAGCGCGTTGAGTGCTGGTGCACAGTAAGGGTAGAGTACGTACAGGGAGCCTGCGGGGCATTTGATTCCGGGTAATTTACATCCGGACCTCACAGCAGTGATAGGTACAGGATTACAGCAGCTAGAGATGACGGCTCTTGCTCAGTCCTCTTCCAGTGCACGAGTTATTGATTGATGTCAGGGTTTAAAGACCATTCTAATGTAGAATATGTAACAAATAGTATAATCTGGGTAAAATGACCAACCCTACATTTAACTGTCTATCAGTGATTTCTTGTCTGCACAAAAGCATTTGGTAAGTCAAGAAAGTTGAGAACAAAAAAGCCTGCATGGAGTGGAGGTCAAGGCTGACGGATGGGTCATTTAAATCGTGAATTTGCATCAAGGTTATAATATAATAATAATTCAAAGTTGAATTATTAAACTGACTGAAGATAGTTCATGTACCTTCTTTTATATCATTTTTCCTGAAGCACTGTCTTTAAACTGAGACCCCAAGATTTTTTTCTTGGCCTATAAACGAAAAGTTTTGGTCCCTTATCCTAACCAAACAATAGTTTCTCAATGTGGACGGCCGCACCTTTAGACATTGTGAAACAGTTAGTGATCAGTCAGGCACTGTGGGTTCATCATCACTAGAAAATTGCTTTGTGTTACACAAAGACATTTCATCCGAGTCTGTAATAAAATCGATTGATTATTATAGCCAATTGAAGTGAAGAGTATTCATACCTGAACCAGCAGCTCCAGCTTCCTGTCATCCAGCAGCTGCACTTGGCACAGTCTGCCCTCAGTCATCTGCAGGGAGAACAAGGCAGGAGTTTCAAGGCTGTGGCAAAGACAGCAAGCTATTCATCATCACAAGGCACAATGATGTATCGTTTCATTGGAAATACTTTCACAATTCTGGCAGGACAATTAAACATCTATGAATTTAAAATGAAGACAGTGGAGACAAAGCTGTGTTTAAATCATGTTTTACTATGTGTAACCAAACTCCACAAAGGCCTCACAAGTAAACACAGGGGGAGGAGAAAAAAAAACAACTCACGCTGTGATTTACAATAAAGCCATTGTCTCAAGGATTTGTTGCCATAGCAACCAGAAGAAGGATTTGAAGTCCCGTTTTGAACCTTTCAATTATCTTTCAGCCTTTTCAGAACACGAGTAAAGAAATAGCCAGTCGTGAAATGTGAAACAGGGCAGGGACTCTACTTGAGTGTGATTAAGACTTTCTTTTCTTTTATCAAAATATAAAGTTGGTGTCAATAAATACTAGCTGCAACCGTAGAATGCATTTCAGATATAAAAGCAAGCGTATAATGAGAACAAAATGATATTAAAGGTTGTAATTTCCTGCATGAGTAATTGCTTAAAACACTTTAAGGAAATGTGTCACAAAAACACCCTTGTTAAAGTGCTGTAACGTTACTTCTGACACCTCCTCTAATTTCCTATAAAACTTTTCACCCTGGTTAATTAAACAGCTAGCATCAAGTTCCAGCCAACATGCAACCACAGACTCGTATCAGATTCTGATTCAACTCTGGACCCTTTTAAATCCAGCCCTCTGGTTCTTAGTCCCACATCTTAAAAAAGAAAGTCATGTTTGCTTGATCAAGATCATTTGCCCCTCAAACAATGCTCCTGATCGCTAAATCAGGCTGACCTACAAAGAGACACAGAACGCGCTGAACACTTGATAAATCAAATAGCCAGTAAAAATGACAGATTGGGGTTGAAAAAAAACCTAAATAGAAAAAAAAAAAATCACATTTCAGACGAGTCTCTTTATCTGACAGAATGAGGCTGAACTTCTAACACTGTGCGTGAACAAAGCTTATGCTTGAAGTACCTGGTAAACCTCTCCGGAGAGAGCGCAGGTGTAGATGCATCCTTGACCGGACCCCATCCTTTCATAATAAGAGTCTCCTCTTGGATGCAGACCATTCAAACTGTTAGCTCCTCCAGAGCAGCATGCAACAGACTATCGAATTGAACCGGAAACGTGTTCCATCCACGTGAATTGACCGGTGCCTTAACTGTGTGTGCGGTGATGGCTTACAGTGTGCAGCCAGTTTATGAGAAATCAACAGCTGACTGAGCGAGAGATCAGGCTGGATCAGACTCCTGACCACACTTCAAGTATTACTGCCTCTTAATACAAACAATCGAGGGTCAAACAGGACGCACAAGTGGTCGATCAAGGTGGTTAAGCATGTTGATTAAGTCTGCTAATAATGTTGAATTGCCTTTCTGTGGATGAATGAGTTTAAATGTCAATAACACATTGCTCTGTCTTAATTTTCCTTTACATTTTAATTGTTTTATTCTATTTGATAAATGGATGCAGTGGAGATTCCCCAGTTGAGAGACTAACACAGCTCACATGTAAAGGCATTACCTCACACTCTCTTCTTTTCTCACATTGCACTAATAAATGATTAAACAAATGGCCCTGCTTCCTGAATGGGGTGACGCACACAGCTTCTACTGTAAATTACACCATCTGTACCGTTCAGACGAGCACTTTGTCAATTACAGCCTCTGAATAATGCGTCTTTCAGACATAAATCCTCTCTCATGATCCAAATTAAAAGTGCACATTCAATAAAGTCAATTCGACCTCAATGTGGCTGCTTGTGACAACCAGCAGGAGTATCATTCCATTGATCTGAGCTCGAGTTAGTTATGACTGCATCATGCTGAGATCATACAATTTGTCTCGGTGACTACAGTATAGCATGAAATTTCTCCTGGTTGGCATGTACAGTAAAGGCATCAGCCACTAGATGGTGCTTTTTTTTTTTTTATCTGTGTGCAGAAGTAGTTCATGTGGAGAAAATGGCCTCTTGAGGAATTTTTTCCGAGGCAGTTATTAGCTCACAGTTGTAATTCAGCCGGGATCGCTCATCTTAATGCAATATAGATGAAGTGAGCGAGAGGAGGAGGAGCCCAGGTTTTTTAGGAATCCAAACCATAAATCATCTGAGAGCTGTAATCACTACGAGAGCTGCTATTTATATCTGACGGAGCAACCCAGCAACCCTGAAGAACCCGGCAGTATCTGTGTCACAACACACAGAAGAGACTCCTCAAGCACAACTGGCAACAAGTTGGACATTTGAGATCACATACCAATACATTCTAGCTGTTTTTAAGAATTTATATAATAATGATTTTTAGTTTTAGTTGATTTTTGTTTAGTTTCTCAACAGATGGAGTACTACAAGTTTTTTTTTTAATCTGAGATGTTCTGTGTCTTTAAATTGAAAGCCTCTATTATCACTGTATGAAAAAATACCACATTAAGAGAACCACTCCTGGTTGGTGCATGAAAATTAAAGGATCCTCAAGATCGTTGCCGTTTTATCGGCCAGGCCTACACTCTGGCATACGGTATTAATTGTGCTTTTAACAGGATCTAGAGATGTAAACACACAGACAAAGCTCCCACCATGAGAAAGAAACACATTCATGTAGAAGAAATTAATACATGAAGGAACAAATAGCAAGGACATGCTAAGTTCCAGATCAGAATGCTGTCGCACAATAAAAAGCTGAGGTTTCATTAAAGTAAAGTCGTTCACTATCACAGTCCATGGGAGTCATTGTACAGCAAAAGAAATCCCTTTCATGAACCAACCTAATTGGCAATAAACCCAGGCTTTGGTTCTCATTTTGATTCTAGAAACTGCAGTGATGAACAATTATTTTTAAGAAAATTTGAGTTGAAAATCCTCATCTTATGATCTGCTGGAATCCAACTCTAAACCTTCTCATCACTAGCTAACAGTCCAAACCTCTACAGATATTTGAGTTTACACTCCCATAAGACAAAGAAGAGCAGCCTATCCTCATTTTGTAGAATCTGAAACCAGCTACTATTTGGCTTTTTTGCTTGAAAAGTGACTTAAATGATTATATCATTGTCAAAATAGTTGAAGATTAATTTTCTGTCAGTTGATCAATGGCTCAATCATTGAAGCACCTTAGGATAACCTTGGCATATCTAATATCTGATTAGGTCTGTTACAGACATTTTATAATTTTTTGTGTCGAGCTAGATTTTAGGTTTAGATTTGATGGGGTTCAAATGTTCCTGGTAGTCCCTCCTTCGAAATGTCACTGGAACGCTGTAAGACTCCCACTCTCCATTTTCTTACACATTTGACCATGAAAAACAAATCCGAGCTGGTCCAACAGGTAACTCTTCTGCCGATTAATAAAAACTCTTCCCTGAACCAGCAGTAAGGTATACTTGCTTGGCAGCATGACATTGATGCACAGATACACATTCCACATTACTTCCTGATGTCTATCAACAGGGCCAACGTCAGCTGATACTGATGTTTAACCCATCAGTTCATCCCTGAGTAACTGGTTTCCAAAGTTAAAATAAAACCTTGAAAAAGACTGAAATAGCTGGATTTGCACATTGCTACTACAAACCATGGCACTAATATTATAAATCTATGTCTCATGATGTACCTGTATTGTTCACAGTGCAGCAGACAGCTCTGTCTAGTCAGCCAAACACAACCTGTATAAAAGGCCAACCTGAGTCTCTGTGGGCTTAAAACAAGTGTGGAACCGTTATGCAAAGAAAGACAGAGGGAAGAGATAAAAGAACAATCAGTCTTAGTGTTAGTCTCTCTAGAGACTGGACAGGCGCTGGTTGAGTATTGAGCTGCAGGGTTTATGTTTGTCTCTATAGTTTGAAGCCTGAGGTTAGCATATAGACAGCTTCAGCTTGTTATAGTGTGCTACTGTGAAACATCCCAGTGGAGACTCTGGAAGGCTGCAGATGTTGCCTCTGTAACAGAAACAAAGAACAACTGTGTAGAGAATGAAAGTATTTCATGATTAGCTGTTGTACTTGTTTTACTGTGACAAATAACTCCATGTCTTGCTTCCAATTTCTATGATACACTAACAGAATAAATTCGGTGTCTCCTGAGTAAACTGGCTGTCAGAGTTAAATACGTCACGCTGGTTAAATGTCATGTCCAGACTGACGCCCGTCTTATCTCGGTTTCCCGTTTTCATGCATTATTGATGAAGGCTGGTATCACATAAGATTCTGTCTGATCTCTGTGCTTACATGTTCTCTTGAAGTCACCTGCTACAGCCAAATAACACCAAAAATTATCATTGTTTTCACATACTCTGTTCTGGGTTCAAATGTGTATAAATCAATAACAACAAGGTTCAGTCAAAAATATTGACTTTTGACTGGATCTGCCACTAAACACTACACCAAGATGTACAAGAAGTCCTCATAAAACTTCATAAAAATTGAATTTTTATTCAAGAGGCATGAGGTTGTACAGTTCCCCTGTAATGGACAATCTTCTATTAGTAAAATAAATTCTCTGTAGCTGATGTACCAGGCCTCTGACCCCTGACCCCGACAGGTAATGACACAATGGCCTGCAATATAAATGGTGACTTCCCTCTAATTCAAAAGGTTATTTTTGATGGTTTATTTTTTTCTGGATGGGGATTGGTTTTAAATGAAGTCGATAATGGCTAAGCCCTACAGAATAAGACCAACTACGTGCGTTGGCACTATACAAAATGATGAATTAAATACTCCAGGTAAAATTACTCCAGACAGTCTGAGTAAACAGAAAGATGCCCTGGTTTTAGTGGCTGCAGCCTACAGCACAGGACTATCTCAAACATCATCCGATATATCTCATCATGACTCATTTTGTCAGCGGTCAAAAGGTATCTGTCTACATCATCTCCCAAAGAGAACCAGTCTGGCTCTTTGTGATATCCGGGAAATTCATGAACACAATGAAGCTCAGGATATTACAGAAAAATTAGACGCTAAAAGAAATATTAATGCTGGTCGTCTGAAACAGTGTCTCTTTGATTTAACAAGAGCAGACTGCATCACAGAGGAGTGATTCATGTGAATGATGTCATCATGCAGTACAAGTTCCTATTCCTATTCCCAGCCCGATAAAGGACGTCTGGACATTGGGATATATTTTCTTGTGGCTGTCCTTCAAATACAAATAGAATCATGTGACATTTTTACTAGCGGTCATCGCGATAGGAGTGGCTGAATCTGCTTCCATCAGTCCCTGTGGGATTGTAACGCAAGCAATAGTTTCGTTGAATACCCACACATTTTTATGTCTTTTCTCCAGAGCTCCAGTGTTTGAACACACACACTTTCAGCTGCTGTCGTAAGAACTGACCTTGAGTGATTGTTACACTTTTAAAAAGAAGAAACGCCAACAAACCAAACAAAGGGATCTGCAATTTCATTTAACCTGTTCGGGTCAAATATTCATTTCAACCCTTCTTCATTTATGTGGCTTCCCAACAAATCATACGCAAATAAATTGAAAGTGGTAATACCAATAGTTCAAATAGTAAAACAAAGGGGTTATCTGATTTTGAAAAAAAATATATAGAGAGAGAGTGCACAGGCTACCTGAAGGATCCATGTGGGCACAGCAATATTTTGAGCTAATCGCTAAATCCAGAATGCTAACATGCTCACATTGACAGTGCTAAGTAGTATCAGGGAAAATGTTTACCATGTTAGCAATAGTGGTTAAGCCTATTTGCATGCCTAAACATGTGAATCAGCACTAAAAACAAAGCAGCGCAGAGGCTCTTGAGAATCCATTAAAGTAATTCAAACAAATGTTTGGGACAAATGTCAATACAAGTAGACGATGGCTCTAGAGTAAATGTCCAAGGGTCACCAAGGTCTTTAACTTATCCTCAGAGGGACCAAAATATCTGTATCGTTTCATCCGATAGTTGTCAAATTGTTGAGAAGAGAGACGGTCAGGTGAACAATGCATTATTTGGATACAGCCTCTATGGGAACCCTCCTTAAAAGCCCCCCTGCCATTCTCCAACCTGCCACTAGATGCCACTGGACTCCCCACCCACCTTCTCACCTGTCTCCAATTCACTTTTTAGTCTCACTCCATATAAACTGGACTATTGCCATTGTTGTTTTCCAGACAAACTTATTTTTCATTTGTTCCTTACCAGTTTGTTTACCTGCGTTTTCTTGCCTAATCTATACTTAAATAAGCAAATTCACAATAATTGAAGCACTCTCTAATCCTCTGCACTCAGCTTCTATACCTTCCTGCCTGCACAACCAATCGTGGCCTTCACATAGCTTATTATCCAGGGATGGGATCATTAAACAAAAACACACCCTTTGTGGTTTGATATGTCATTGGCACATATACACATAATAATTACTAATGCACATTGTGTAATTTTTCTACCTGAAAGTAGAGAGGAACAATGACATGCCATGACTAAATATCACATTGTGATCATCTGGAAAGCATTATGTTGATATCTGTTGAGACATCTTGAACTTCAAATACACTCAAACTTCTTTGGGGTGAAGTCTCGAGTTGGCCTTCCCCCAAATCAAGTTCTGGATGGACAAAGTTGGATCAGCGGTATGTCTTTCAAAAACAAAATGATTATAAATGTAGGTGCCTATTTTTCTATTTTAACCTCTTGTCTAGGTTAAATGTGTCCTCTAAATCCAGGAATTAAAGCATAAAACTGATTCACACACACACACAAACACACACACCGACAGACTTCTCTAAAAGCAGTAAGCTCTTGTTCTGAAAGCTTTGCCACCAGTTGCCCTCATTCTCTGCATGTGCTTCCAGCTGTCCCCACTGGCACTCCTGATATCAAACTGCAGAGTTTTGTTGGAGAGAACTGCAGTGACTTTCTGCAGAGCTCAGGGACGAAGCACTGAGGCACGGACGTGAAGGGGTGGAGAAAAATGGAACATGACCAAATTGCTTGATGTGGACCAACGACCAGAGTGTCTGCAGCGAGTGGAAACCCTCACTGCAACACTTGCAGGGATGCAATCATATTAGATTTACTGTCTTTACCTTAATCCAGCGTGGATCAGCTGACATGTTGGGGCTGGAATATATTAGGGTTTTTTTTTTTTTGGACAGTTGGGTCTAACCCCAAATCCTCACGTGCCAACCTGTTTCACTTCAGTGCAGCTGCTTCAGCTTTCACTTTATTATATCAGCCTTAATCCCACTGTGGAGAGTGTATGACTATAAGATTACTCGTCCAAAAATAGATCCTCTCTCTCTGTCTTTAGCACATTTCTCAGAAAGTCTCAGAAGCTTTGATTCCTAAATGGAAGGTTTCCAACCGAGCGCTGAGACATTTCTCAGCCGGATCAAGCAGAGAGAGAAACATCTCCGCCTTGTTAGGCTCTCTCACTGACAAGTGAGAATGTACATGGAGAAATATATTGAATTCGGTGTCGAGTTTTCACTCTAATGAATCGGAGGATTAAAACCAAACCCGGGCGCTCTGTAAAAGAGTTTGAAAAGCCTTCATAAAGCTGACATGTGTGATTAATGACACAGGACATCCTCCTTTCCAACACAGAGGAAGAGCGGCAAAGTTTCACGCTGCACACGTGTGTCATACAGACGCAGGCATCACAACAACAATTCCTGTTTACAATATCATGAGGCTTTAAATACACCCAAGGCCTGTCTCTTCCTTTAACGCTCAGATAAAGCCAGCAGGTCACTGTCAACCTTCACAGTAATCCCTCTTTATTTGTTACCAGCGGTCTAAAAGCAGGGAAGGTGCCAGAACGATTAGCTTAAAAGAAGAAAATCAGGAGGTGGCAAGGTGGGTATAGGCCTACCTGCACCAAAGATACAACTATGTCCTCATAAGACATTTATAAAAATGCTTTCAATCAACAACACATACACAAATCACAAACACTGTCAAAAATGCACACACACCCTCCCCTTCCAGAAAAAACATTAAAAAGAGCCCACTTGGTAATTTTATTTGGACAGACAGGATTGACAGAGCTGCAAAAGGGTGAAGATGATGATTCATCCAGCATTTTTAATATTCAGCCTACCAAGTCACACTGGCTAAATCAGCCTGCTTCTTCAGATCACACCTAATCAGTGGCATACATATCTTCTAAACTACTTTCAAATAAATAAATAACACATATCAAAATAGCCTCTCTTATTTTGGCACAGTTGCCCACAATGAGACTAGCCCACCTCAGGGCCAGTTTCCACAGTGCAGGGAGAACAATGAATGAGCTACTGTGGGGCTACACTGTATACTGAACATGGGTGGTTTCCACCTGAGCCCCATGTCTACACTAATGTGTCAAATACATCCACTCTGCTCCCTTTTTTTTTTTTTTACCAGTGAGGAAACACGCTGCACACACGCACAGACAAACCCATGCTGCTGTAATTTCATTGATGCTCTCTCTCTCCTTGGATCACACGCGACCATGGCTACTTTGTCTACACACAGCTACCACAAACCGGCTTCCATCAGCTCCATCGTATCATACACAGCCTTACCTTTGCACTCCTGATATATCCCGCTTTAGTTCTTTTTATTATTATCTATGAATAAGGCAATTTCTTCCCCTGCATATCGATCCTGCCCGTTCAGCTTTCTCCCCGGCTGCTTTCACCAGGGAGGAGAGCCGCCGTGCAGCCGCTGTCCGCGTTCATCCTCCGGTACAACTGGAGCGCACACACCCGCCTCGTATCGAGCCACACTCACCACGCCTTCACCCGCCGGCTATTATGTGAACAAGCCCCGCATCCCCTCCCTCCTCTCTCCTCCTCCTCCTCCTCCTCCCTCCTCTGCTGCCTCCTCTCTCTCCCTCTCTCTCATCCAGCAGCTGCCGGCCGGCCTGCTTCACACCGAGTCTCCACAATAATGAGGTGTGATAGCCTGGAGGCCGTGTGCTGCATCTCTCACTGTCCTCAGCATTTATCTTCATATCATATTATACCTTGGATTTGCATCAAACATAGCCTACTTTATGTTAGACGTTTTATGTTATGCCTTATTGAGAATGTATTTGTTCCCTGCTCTCATGACAACAACCAGACTACTGTTCCTGGGGTCAGTAATTGAATAATCAACAAAAAGTTAGACTTCACTGGGCTATGAAACACTTCTTCAAGTGTCACCATGAGTCTTATCCCAATGGTGATATAGAAACCAGACATTCACTTTAGAAAAGGAGATGATGACTACTTTGGATAACAGAGTTTTTACAAGTTGTAGGCTATAATATGTTTTAAAAAATGTGTTAAAATATAAATATTTGAGTGTTTTCAGTGTACTGATGAGGGTACATTTGAATAATGTTATTGGTACAATATTATAATAACCAAACATGAACAGTAACAGTGTAATTGTGTTCCAGTTAAATGGAAAGTGTGTCCCTCTACGAACTTATACAGACTATGTGACTTTATGCATGACTGTATTATTCATTGCATCAGTCTTCAGTTGAGGCATTATAATAAGACCTCTCCTCATCTGCCTTTTACAATAACTGTTGTACTTCAGAGAATAATATAACCTCATTTGTTTAACATGAAGTATTTTGTTTTAGCACCTTTCTTGTAAAAGATTACTCAGTTCGTAAATTAGACTAAAGTGAATTCACAAACAGCCTGTCAACAGTTTGTTTTGTGTATTTGTAAGCCTGCTGGGATGCTCTGTATTTGCACAAAGGATTTTTTTTTTTTTTTTCAGGCAGGATCTAAGTCATGAAAACTAACATGCTTAGGACCTTGTTAGCATATGAGACAACTGACAAAGCACAGTTTAAACATCTTTCTTTTCTTTTTTTTATTACAATGAGTGTTTACAGCAGCGAGGAACAAGAAACCGAATGCCATACCTGCACTTGTTACAGTAAACTTTTTTTCACAGTGTGTTCAGTGTTGCACAGGACATACTGTATACAAACTGTGTAACCAGATTACTGGTGTGTGTTTCACATGTGACATCCACTCTGCTCAGGAGTGACGGTGCCTCTGAAATATTCATAACTGTCTTTACATTTGCTCCACTGGAACATTTTCAAAAGAATCACGCACATGCAGCTGCCTCTTTAATATCCCAAAAATACATTTGGATACATACAACAATGAAGCACTTGATCATGGAAACACTTACAAACTGCATTTCCACGATTAAATGATTCATGAAGGAACATTTTTCTGCTTCTGAATGTCCTCACAATCTACAGTAAATGCTGCACCCTGTAAGACAAGCCGGGCTTCCCAACCCCCACCCCTCTTCCTCCATGCTCTTGGATTTCTGACATCAGACATGAATAAGTATCTCATTAAGATCCCCCCAAAACCATCTGCCCAGTGAGTCTCCTCCTTGCAGGATGATGCTCTCATAGACAATAGAGTGGGAATCCCTCATTACCCTCGTTACTGTCTGTACTTTAATTCCTCCTTCAATGGCAGGCTGGACTTTTAATACATTCAGGGGACTGGGATGCATCTCAAACAATGTTGTTGTTGTTTTTTTTCTTCGAATAACTGACAAGTTAAACTCTTACCAGATCTAGAAACATCAACTGTCAGCATATTTTTTTTACACAAGTTTAATGTGATTCATTTTAGGGGACTTTGATCTTGAATGGCACAATTATAAAAAAAAATGCAATATCTACTTTACAACTGCGACATGCAATGATGTGTATATTTTATTCGTCGGCCCTAATTTAATTTGCATGCAATTACTTGTCAGTGTCCATTTAAGCATAGTCAAATGCTACATGGCAGATGCTTTATGCAAATGCACTCACACCCATAATAACAATAGAATTTGAGGGAGCTGAACAACAACCTCAGCTATACAGAAATACGTTCAATGTTTTCATTACAAGAGAGATTTAAATGAAGGCCCCTGGTTTAACATTTCTCAAACAATAAAAAGAAGCATCCTTTTTAAACACGGATCATTCTAAACATCTTATTATAAACCAAGGGAAACAGAACTCTCTCACCTACTTTCTTTTTTCTTTCAGTAAAACAAAACCTATTGGAAGATGGAGAGTCAAAATGAAATTGAATAAATATGTTGGAACATCAGGACGCCTGTGTCTCCAGCGAACAGGATGTGCTGTGTGCTAAATGGCTGCAGGTCACTGCTGATTGGCCGACAGGTGTCTTCCATGAAATAGAAAACAAAGTGAAAACAATAAAACAACTGTGTTTTCACACCTGGGCTGAGGCGTTTCTCTGCTATTGTTGGCCCTCATTACCAACAGTTCATGCTGTGTGCTATTTGCCAGCCATGTTTGCATTGACTGTCACAGCTTATTAAATCTGCACAACACTGTGTCAACTCTGCTGTATTCTCTTGTGTAATTATGTCCCATGTGTTATCTCATGGCCAACCGCCAGTGTGTCACTGGACTTGTGCCGTCAGTTTTCAACACAAGCGTGTGTATGTGTGTGTTTATTTGTAAGTGTGTGTCTGTCGGTATATATGCGCAGCGTTCATGCAAATGTTGTGTGTGTGAAAGGGGGGATGTCAGACACTTTGGTTCATGAGTTGAAAAGTCACAATAGTTATCTGTTAACAGTAACTGGGTAAAGTCTTGGAGATTTTTGAGAATATCCACTTCTATTTTTTTGCTAGATTTTCTAAAAAGAAAACACACACAGAAAGCACTTTTATGCATTTAGATTGATTTAAAAAAAAAAGGTGGTACATTTGTTACTTCCATCCTAATCGGGCAGAACAATTTTCACTCAAGTATGAAATATGTTGCCTATACATTACACCCACGTGAAGGAATGACAAAGGACATTGTAGTCTGCAAACTCTTGGGGCCTCACTCAGCTGGATGCCCTGGGTAATCAGTGCTGCCATTCACCACACAACAACACCCAGAATAATATGTGTTGTCTAGTCTATTGTTCGTCCAACTCTGTCCTCTTCGGAGGAATGTGAAGCTCTGCAGGTCCTGCATCACATCTCCTGCTCTGAATGTAACTGAGTGGAGAAATACTAGAAATCAATTTGATTATGTTCCCGATCATATGAATGCCTGCTGTCAGTTATCATATTATTAGAGGCTTCATCTTCATAGGTTGCTTTTAAGTCTGTGCTTTCCAGTTGCACACTTGCCTTATTTGCATTGGTAAAAAGCAGACTTAAAACTAGTCCAGCAGGATGAGGCAAATGCAAATATTGAACTTGAATTTCCATTTTGTAATAGAAAGTGTCCCCCCCCCCCGGCTGGGCTCGCAACACAAATATTCCTGGCTTTATACTGCCCTCAAGTGGTGCGTAGGAGTCAGACGAGGAGCCCAAACTTGGTGAGCAGAGAGCAGCAGAGGGAGAGGGGGAGAGGAAGTGAAGAGCAGCAGAGTCAGAGTCAGGCTCCTCTGCACAGAAGCCCGACAATGAGGGTCGATAAAGGTTAGTTAACGGACTATAATACCTGCTGCATTCACAAATAACAGTCTGATCTGCTGGGATAAATACAACATTTTATTTTTTCGATTATTTATAATTGCAGTGCATGCTGCACAGGTGCGATTTTGTGAGTAGTCTGGTGCGAAAGGTGTGTACAGGGTTTGATGTACAGTACATTTTTCAAAGCAACAGATTAGATACAGCGGTAAAGAGACCTAAATTGAATTGTTAATAGGTATGCAACATGCTGATAGAAATCTTTTTTTTTTTTTTCCTCATTTACTATGACACCATCACTGGCTGGCTCATGCCAGGTAGCAGATCTTCGATGTCATGCTCTACAATTTAACCCCTTAATTGACCATTTATTGATCGTGCGCTCTCGTGCAACACTAACTCTGCTTCCTCACACTGAACCAGCTTTCACTGCGTTGTAATGTAGCCTGCATTATTAGAACAGGGGTTTTATGGCGCTTTAGTGAGAAATAGCCTAATAATAATAATAATAATAATAATAATAATAATACTAATAATAATAATAATGACTTAAAATATAAACAACAAATAAATAAGGTAAAAAAATTACTGAAAGGGTTATGAAGCTTAAAGATCTATCTCATTGCAAGTCAAAATCCTTGTTTACATATGTTGACGAAAATCCTGACACTATCTTAAGACGATGAACAGCTGTTCTCATCTTTTTTGTGATTCTAAATGAAGGAGATATAACTTTTTGACACTCGAGTTTCACGTTGGGCACAAACGAGGCTGAGTATAGTCCCCCGTGGATGTTGCAGCCAATGAAAACCACGCTGACACCATAGAGCCGCGATGCATACCGGGAGCTGTAGTTCGCGCGCCGCGTGCAGCCCGACAGCAGCGCTGCGCTGGCAAGCTGTGTTGGACTACAGGGCTCCGGGTCCTGGACAGAGGCGGCTTGCGTTGACAGCGGTTGTTGGTACTGACTGAGCGAAGTACGGCGGCACAAATATCGGTCTGTCTGCGTGTTTTTTTTTTTTTAAAGTGCTTCAACGTTTGTAAAAGTTAACACCTGCAAGCATGCAGTCCGAATCGGGAATAGTTCCCGACTTCGAGGTCGGAGAGGAGTTTCAAGAGGAGCCGAAAACGTATTACGAACTGAAGAGTCAGCCCTTGAAAAACAGGTCAGTTGTTCAGCTGAGGACAGTTATTTCCCACGCTGCAGCGGTTTTGGTGTTTAGGTGATAATTAAGCGGCAGACTTTGTGAGTGTTGTTCAGAGTCTGTGCATGTGTGAGGCTGCTTCACTCACATCTCTGGAGCTACACCTCTGCAGTGGGATTCAACTTGCCTCCCATTCCTTATGGTTATCCTGCTGGCATGAAGTTATGCAACACTTGGGTGTTGTCTTGTCAACATCAACTTCAAATATTAGCTCTGAGAGGAGCAGACAGGTCAGGCTGAGATGCTGCTGCTCTGCCTCACTTGTGTCGATGGTTGTATCTGATAAAAGCTGATGGGCGGGTTTGTTTTTACAAGGATTCTTCTTAAATCTCTTTCTTAATATCCCTGGAAAAAAAAAATCTGACAATGTGTTCTGCAATTACTTGTATGACATGTTGAGTAAAGTTGTGTTACTGTTAAGTTAATTTCTTCTTATTATAGCCTTCTGCATATCAAATAATACAAATGCATCAAATTGTGGATGGTTGCTAAAATACACAACAAACTGCACACAGGTGAAATCAGTTAGTTGAAAGAAATGTAAAGCTCTCATGTCAGACTTTCCAGCTGCATTGAGCATACAGTCCTCCAAATCCTTACAAAACAAACCATGTTAAAAGAATTCATGCTGTGCGATCGACCGCCTTCTGGTGCTGTTTTAGAACATAAACACAAAGGATGACTTATAATAATGCTATTTTGAGCTTTGGAAGGCTTCCCAAAAATAATCATTATTGAGTTGAGTCAGGTCTGTGGTTTGATCTGACCTTTTATCCTGTTTCTGGGAAGCATGATGTCATATTCAGATGCCGTCCCTGCAGCCAAATTGCTAAAGTATCTGTTCAGGGAGCTAAGAAAGTAACACACTTTTGTGCTTTCTTTGCTATGTGTTGGCTGAGTAAGTAACCACCAACCTTTCAGTCTGTTAAATAGGATGCAGGAGCTAACATTACCATAAAGACTGTCTGCAGGAATATGATTCTAAGGCACGGGTTATCTTAGCAGAGCGTAGAGACTAGAAATGGGAAAACAGCAGTTCCCTAAAAAGGTAACAAACGTTACATGTTTACATTTCAAGCCTCCGTGCTCAATTTTGTTATTGCTCAGATCCTACTTTTTGTTTGGCTGTTCACATTACTTTTTAAATATGGCTTGTGTCAGATGTGTGAACTGTGTGAACTGGTTACAGCCCGGCATGCCACTTCAGGAGCATCGGCCTGCCTGTGCATGCCAGTTTCCCAGCTACATGTGAGCTTGGTTTAGCGACATGGCACCATAAGTTCAGCAGCCTTGCCTACTTTTTCTGATGGCATGCCGGCAGGGAGCCATGCCAGTGCCATGTACCGCCCATCTCTCACTCCAGAATCGCCCATCATCCACCATCAGGATGCATCTGTAAATGAACACCAGTGGACTTGCTTAATGACATTAAAGGCTCCATATGTGATTTTTCACTCTTAAATATAATAGAAATCAAGTATATCCTCTGAAAGTAACTCTGTGAGTCATGACTGTCACACCTGTCAGACTGTGTAACACCGGAGTCCCACTGTCTGTGATGCTTTCCGAATTTTCCGAGTCCTAACTTCAGTTTGTTTACATCGCCCAGACGGCCGGCCGGCTCATCCCCTCACGTATAAAAGTTGTTTAATTGAGGGACTAGAGGAAAGAAGAATAACATACTGTACTCACTGCTTATTTAAATGTCACGTAAGCGTTTCTAGATCACGCAAAAAATCACATATAAATCCTTTAACCTCCTTCTGTACATTTGTCTTGTCTTAATTGACAACATGTGTGCAACAAAGTGATGTTATTATACGATTGTAGACATTTCTCTTGTCCTTTGTCGTGTTGGCTATTGAACGTTTTTGGCCTCTTCGTTTATGACAGTAGAGTAGTTTCATATAGATGCTGATGATACCAGTTAGCTTGCAGCAGAGCTTGATCACAGCTAACGAGGTTAGCCTATAGCCACCACGGCCAGTCAGAATAATCAATATCAGAGTGAACGCCAAAATATGGGAAGGATCACACTGTTAATGCAGTAAGAGACAAAGCATAAAAACAGACAGATCAGAGTTATTATTATGTTTGTCACTAACTTTAAACGTATTCTCACTGCTTGCTTTATTATGTGATAAACGACACGTTGATCACATTGTTTACTTTTGTCTTCTCCTACTCTTCCCTCCTCAATTCGGATTGTCCCGTAGCCTATTAACAAATGAAATGAAGTCCTCCTCACTGAAAAGGTTCGGACAACATCTGAATTTTTGTGAACACAGCTCAAACGCATAAACCATTTCTTAACACACTGGAATGACATGATTACAAATATAAAAACTTTGTGTTTTTCATGAGACACAGCAGAGGGATATTCAGTCAGTCATGAATGAAAGGAGAGTTGTCTGTTGCTTCATCGTGATCGTTGCCGTGGAAACAGGGAGACTGACCCTCCACTGACTACCTTCACCCCTTCTCCCGCGCCGTCCAGCCAACGCAGAGCTGTGATGACGGTGATGTCAAAGTCGCATGTTTTTCCGATCTGGCCGTTCAGACTGAGGTGAATTAGGATCACATACAAAAGTGGCCCAAATGTGATTTAAGGTCAGATACCATGTGACTTTTTCAAACTGTCGTAAAAATGATCTAATCTTAGTCACATATGAGCAAACAATTGGGATTTGGGTCACATTTGCCTGCAGTGTAAACATAGCCAAAATGCTTCTTCTCGCACCGCACACTGATAACACTGACTCCTGCAGTATCTAGATATCATTGGTTTTGATTTACTACAGAGCTTAGAGGTCGTAGTAGGGGAATTATTTATTCACATTTTGGACAGTCGGACAAGCAGCAACCTCCTGAAAAATGAAACTAATGCTAGAAGTGCATAAAAAGAACTGCAGTCCCTCGAGGGTCTGCTTAAGGCTGGCTCCAGTAGACCTGGAAGCTCCACACACACCATGCACATTAATATGTCCATTTTGACAGCAGAAATAAATGTGTTTACAGCCTTGTGCAAAAAAAATGATTTAGCTCTAATTAGCTCATGTCATTATCAGCACATGGTATGCTCATCCTTTTTTGAGTTAATGACGGGTTAAGAGTTATGCATAATAAGGGGCATGACTGAACAGACTGCAAGCGGGTGCGCTGTAACTGTTTGTCCGGAGGCTCAAGGCCCGCCACAACTGCTCCTCTTTGCCTGTTACTATAGGTGTGGTTCAGATAGCATTTTCAACACGACAACCGCCATCGACGGATGACATCACTGAGACTACATCCATGTTTTCTACAGTGTATGAGCCAGACCTAGCCTTAGACATACTAAGCTAACTAGCTGCTATCTGTAGCTTCATTTGAGCGCACAGAAATGAGAGTGGCATCAATCTGCAGCTAACTTAGCAAGAAAAAGTTTGTCTTAATTGATTTATTTCGACGAATAATGAAAAGGAAACGTGTAAACTAACCATCCTCATTAGTTAATATATGTTTTGACATTGGTTGCTTAATGCATGCTGAACATAAGAAACTTTTAAGAGTCTTTTGGCCTTTTCAAAGAGCTATTGTTAAACAATATATTACCAGGTTTATTTAGGGATATGTTGTCTGGGGGATTTTAATGCACCATAAAAACACATTAAAGCTGTGCTATAACAGTGAAGTTGTCAAACTCACCACTTTTCCTCTGTGATGACAATGACGACGGCGATGACGACAATACATCTATTAACAGGATGGTGTCTGGTTATCTGTATTTGGTGTCTAAATGTCTAAAGTTGTTTAGCAGTAGCTTCATTGTGAGGCTGAGACACACAGAGGACAGTACACCACTGTGTGCAAACAGAGCTCTCATTGCAGCGCTCAGTGGATTCCTGTTATTTCTTCCCCCTCTGGCTCTTGACATTTTTGTATCAGATTTGTAGTTTATATTTTTTTTCCTCCTCTAAATTCAACCACTTTAGGAAGGGGGGGGGAGGAAAACGCTTTGCCTTGTGCAGCCTTAACCTTTAACCCAGTTCTGCATTTTTTTTAAACCAATTTCTTCATTAGTGAAATGTCATTACGCTGTTACACATATATGTTGCCTGAATCTGAGCTGTGTGGTGTTGGGGCAGAGCAGAGCAGAAAAAGCACTCTCAGGTTCCGGATGGTCGCAGATTATTTCATTTCATGCCGTTTCCTTTGGAATATGTGAAATTTGTGTGAAGAGTTGTTGTCGATCGAAGGTATCCCACTTCCTCTTCCCATCACATGAGGATGACCCAGCATAATAACCGTCACGAGGACTCTGCGATGAGACATAGTTGCGCAAATTGGATATAATTAGCGTGATTTATTTTCGACTGGTGTGTGATGTCTTGCCATGTTGACCCCCACACAGTTTTCAAAATCTGAAGTGTGACAAAGCACAGTGTCATTTTAGTTTTCGCTGTCCTCATGGAAGTTCGACAGAGCGCTCAGACAGCTGCAGACGATGTGGCAGACTTCTTGTACCTAATATAGATGTGAGACAGGCGCTGCAGCTAGTCTGTATGCAGTGTAAATAAGCTGTTTAAATTTAGCAGGGGATGTGTTATATCCTCAACTGAGAGGGAGGAGATCGCTTTTCAAAAAACTTAAAAAATGCTGATCGCAAAGTCACACTTAGACTTAAAGTCAAAGATGTTTTACTTTTGCTTTCTAATGCATGAAGTATATTTGAGCTGAGTTTCTGGATATTTCCTAAATCTGCATATTAATGGCTACACATCATGATCTAAGGTGTTGAATTGCTGATACAGTTGTTGTATAAGCATCAAAATAAGCCTCACTGAATATTTGCTGAGTACAAATGTGTTATTTTCTTCACAGACTTTTACTTCCCCTGCCAAAAATATTTCAATATAAAAAAAAACGTAGTTGTGAAAGAGCTTTGCTAATATATTCTCAATTTGATGTAAAATAAATGTTTT